AACCTGGGCCAGAGCAGGGAGGAGGAAGCGGGGAGGGGGAACAGGGGAAGGTGCAGAGGGAAGGGGGAAGAGGGGAGGGGGGAGGGGGATGGGGGGAGGGTGGAGAGGGGAGGATAGAGGAGGGAGGGGGGAGGATGGAGGAGGGAGAGGGGAGGGGGTGATGGAGGTGAGAGGAGGGTGGCGAAAGGAGTGGGTGGGTGGTGGAGAACGGTGATGCAAGGTGGGTGCCGATTGGACGAAAGTTGTGAGATGCCGCACATATTGCAAAAGCAAGGCAGAACTACAATCACCTTGTCTCTGCTCCATGCTCTGACTGTCTTCACCACCCGATCGACTTCCGGCATCTGAACGAGAAAAAGACATGCAAGCAAGCACACACGAGAGAAAGCAAAGAAAGCAATGAATGAGAGCAATCAAGAAGAAGGCAGGCAATGAAGCAAGGAGCGCAGAGAGTCAGAATGGTGCAGGGTGGGGGCATGATCTCATATCAGGAGAGTCAATGATGTGCCCACAAACCAACTCACAGAGCCTGGCATCAACACAAGTCGACACAGTTCAAGTGAATGCTGGGTTGAATGGAGACAAAGAAGGAGGAAAACGGGGGGCGAGCAAAGACTGGTAAGGCGAGCAAAGAGATGCAAGGCGAGGGTACCATGAGGACGTCTAGGGAGGTCCACGTGTTCATTACACGTGCGGTGATGTGCTCCGCAATGCACCGACTGGTGTTCATTACAGCCAGCTCATATTCCTCATCACCATTATCACCAACATCACCACCATCATCAGCACTATCGGCAACACCGTCACCGCGGACCCCTGAGGAAACGACCCCATTTTGCTATACCAACACTGTCACAATATTTCCCGATCCTCAACTCCCTACAAGCTGCACCAATTTCGCCATCGTCCTAGACTCCTAGTCATCATCACGCTCCCCCGACCAGCCTCCATCATCATCATCATCCCTGTCGCAATCACTGTCAAACTCATACTCATGCTCAACGTCCCCATCATCACCACCGCTCTCCTCGTCCGCCATCGCCTCCCAACCCCAGCCCGCCATTTCCCTCTTTGCCGCCACATAGCCTCCCCCGTCCCACTCCTCGTCTTCCGTATCACCTCCCTCCCCATCCTCCTCACCCTCCCCCTCCTCCGCTTCCTCGTCCTCCTCTCTCCTTGCAGGAACCCGTCTCATGACCCGCTCTGAGAGCAAAGGGCAGTCACTGATATAGTACTCTCGCAACGTTGGCATTCTCCGGAGAGAGGGCGGCACTCAAGCCAGCTTCTTCCAGAAAGACACCTGCAAATCCTCAAGCTTAGGCAGCCGAGTGAACGAATCCGGCAAGCTTCTCAACTGCTTCAGTCCCAGGATCAGCAGCTTCTGGAGAGGAGAGATTACAGATACCATCTGGAAAGGCTGAGATGCCGAGCTTGATGAGAGTGCAGGACCGTAGCTTTGTTAGATTCGAGAACGACCACGGAAGCTGCATCAGCTTGAAGCAATCGACAAAATCCAGCGTCTCGAGCATCGTAAGCTGCCCGAGAGACTCGGGCAGCTGGCGCATAGTGAGTCCGGGAGCTGCTGCAGCTTCTTACACTCGAGCAATTTCAGCTCCTGGAGGGCTGTCAACTGCCCGAAGGTTTCAGGCAGGTTTTTGAGCTGATGAAGGTATTTTAAGCACAGCTTCTTCAAAGCAACCAGCTGGCCGAACTCATGGGGCAAATATGTCAGATTAACAAGATGATTGAGGGATAGCTCTTGAAGCGTGGTAACTAGAGCGATGGAGTCAGGTAGGGCTGTGAGACTCCAAAGGTCCAGCACGAGTGTCCGAAGCTGTGACAACTGCCCGAAATCTTCGGGCAGCACTGAGAGTTGTGCTATGTCAAGAGTGAGATCGGTGAGTGCAGGCAGTCGGGGAAGAGACGCGGGCAGAGACGTGATATCACTGCAGAGCTCGATAACTAGAGTCTTCACTCGCTGCAAATGCTCGAGAGCCGCGAACAAGTCGCGCATTCCCGTCACTACAACCAAAATGAGGGTTTCAAGGGCCCGCAGTTGACCGAAATCGACCGGTGACGGAGGAAGGATCTCGCATCGCCGAGCCTCCAGGAAGGTGAGAGAAGAAAGTCCGGTGAAAGAGGCCGGCAGCTGCAACGCCAAGCAGTGACGCAAGGAAAGACGGCTCAGAGCGGCAAGCTGCCCGAAAGATTCCGGAAGTGACGCCAAGGGGCATTTGTGCAGCTCCAGCGACGTTAAGGAAAGCAGGTTGCCGAAATCTTGAGGTAAAGCTTCAAGCATAGAAGTTTTCAGCACGAGGCTTCGGAGAGATTGTAGCGAGGTGAGAGTGTCGGGAAGACGCGTAACGCGTGCTCTGAGGGTTAAGTTCGTGAGCCGTGAGAGTCGGTCCATAGATGGGGGAATGGCAGCATGCTCCGAACAATAAAGACACAGATCTTCCAGGCGCGTACACCCGTCGAACAGAGCAACGAGACTCTTCTCAGTGACACCTCCGTAGCTAGATTCACGTGACATCGGTTCAACACGAAGCTCGGTCAAATGAGGACACACGTCAGCGAGGCGAGAGAATAAAATATTAGAGGCGGAGGTGATGCTGCCAGAGTGAAGAATGAGTTTTTTTAGGTTAAGAAACGGCGACAGAAGCTGAACGATGCGATGCGGATCCATTCGAAGGTTATCGTGCAAGTGAAGCTCATGTTGCACGTGGTAGGCGATGTGACGCCACTGCCTGCTAACAACTACGTGCTCCAGCCGGCCATCAGGTCGAACGAGAAAATTAAGGATGCGAGAGAGCAGCTCCTCAGGCAGCCGCTGGATCGGCGATCCGGCCAGCATTGTGAAATGGGGAGAATTGAAGAGATTGATGAATAGCTGTCCGCCCTGCTACTATTTAGGTAACCTGGATCCTACTCGTCAACAAGCAACTATTTTGTCAGACTGAACGAGTCATCCACTGGATTGTCAGCGGATCCATGTTTTTGACATCGAAGCCCTGGTCTTTGTCAGTGGCACCGTACTCAACTGTTTGGTTTATTGAACATTCCCGCCATATTTTCCACTCATGTAACACCTTATTTGCGAAAAGGATGGCGACGCAAGGCGCACAATGACGAAGACATAGGTATATCGACCAGCCAATATCATGGATACTCAAAGTATTCCCGAGCGGATTCTCAGGTGTAAACACCAACAGAAACACAGTTTCGCGATATAGTAGTAGGTGTTTCTTGTTGTTTTCTGAATACAGTCACTACAGAAAATGCAACACCTGAAAAAAAAACTTGTAGCGAACCTAGATGAATTTTGAGACAGATCAACCTCAACTACGGGAAGCCGCCCACTTCAGGAAAAATATATTGCACCCTCTTGACCCAAAAAATAAAACCCAATCGAGAAGGGATGCGACTCGGGAGGCATCAACCCTAAAAACAATGCCCTTTACCGTGTTTAGGGCTGATCCCTCCCGCAAATGCGTCCAGATTCTATAGGGGTTTATTTTTTCTGCCCTGTCGTAAATTTACGTACTTTAATTTAACAAATCCAAGTCGGAAGGGTAAACTAGATAGTTCTCTTTTTGTCACCTCCCAAACATTTCGACCAGCGTAAACAGTGTGACTAAACAGCGAAGACCAATCAACGTCGAGAAAGTCCAGGTTGATTACACCTGAAAACTCGCTCGGGACTAATCTGAGTATGTATGAAGTTGGCCGGTATATCGACTATGCGAGGTTCATTCATCGTGCATTCGCGACCCGTAAATGGGTGTGCACCCCTCACCACAAAAAGGGATGGCAGCGTACCCGCTTGTGGATGCGATTCCGCTATACGGTGTTATTACTTCTGTAGCAACTAGAAAAGTAAAATGCACGTGGAGTGAAAGAATAATGGAGTCATGCTTAAACAGGTGCAAATGCGTCATTTCCTACAGTGCACAAATGATACAAGCAAAGTTGTTGTGTTTTTAGTGCCACTCTCTAACCAACAGCCAGCCACCGCTGCCATGCAGTGTTTACACAAATTCATCTGCCTCTCCTGCAATATTTTGCGACTACTCCCTGGTCGCTGGTCTCTAGATGCGGGATGCTGGTTGCTCCCTGCCTGGCACGCAGTGGGGCATGCTGAAAATAGCAGTTCGCTGCATCTGCCTCGCTGCTCAGTCAGTCACGAGTCATCTGGTCGTTGCTTGCTGGTTGCTGCTGGCTGGTTGCTGCAGGCAGTAGTGCACGCTGAAAAAGAGGCACGTGTGTGTGCTGTAGGCTGCATCCGCCTCACATGCCGCCAGATGGAAGCTGCAACGCCAAGGGGCATTGTGGGAAAGAGTGGGGAGGGGGAAGCGTTGGGGAGGGTGACAAAAAGAGATGGGACAGTTATGGTAGACAGTTATGGGCAGACAGAAGCGAGTAGGCAACAAAATCAGGGGTAGTGACTTGCGGGGTGACATGGTTCAATCGGAGCAGTATGGGTGGGTGTAGAGTGGGGGGGAGGGAGGGCTGGAGCACGTGGTGTGGAACATGTGCTGTAGGCTGCATCCCCCTCTCATGCTGCCAAATGGAAGCTGCATCATAACATACGATGCAGGAAGTGACGGTGGTAAAAGGGAAGATTGCAGTGCACTCACTTACAAACTCACTCGCTCACTCACTCGCTCACTCACTCACTCAGTCAGTCACTCGCCCACTCACTCAATCCACTCACTAGTTTACAAACTGATCCTAAAAGACTCAGTCACTCTCTCACTCTACTCACTCACTCACTCTACTCACTTGCTCACTCACTCACTCACTCTACTCACTTGCTCACTCACTCACTCACTCTACTCACTTGCTCACTCATTCACTCTACTCACTTGCTCACTCACTCTACTCACTCGCTCACTTGCTCACTCGCTCATTCACTCACTCACTCTACTCACTCTACTCACCCGCTCATTCACTCACTCGCGCACTCGCACACTCACTCGCTCACTCTCTCATGCACACACTCACCCTAGCAGGAAGAGGTCCGAGAGGAGCATGGAGAAGGCACCAGTGTAATGGCGGAGAGGGTCATCGGGGGCAACGTGAGGAGAGTGTGGAGAGCGAGGAGAGAGAGGAGTGGCATGATAGGAAGATGCCTCATCCAGTGGGGGAGGGACGGAGACCACCAGCTGGCACACTGGTAGAGTGGCCTGGGCCAGGGAGGGAGGGTGGGTGGAGGGAGATGGGGATGAGCAGGGTGGAGGTGAGAGGAGGGTGGAGAGAGGGAGTGGGTGGGTGGGTGGGTGGGTGAAGAACAGTGACGGGAGATGGGTTTAGATTTGAAGGTTTTTGCGCGATGGGAAGAATGTGACGGCATGAAATGCATGTGATGACGTGCATGTGCGAGCAGCAAGGGAGAGCAGCACAAAGTACCTTGTCCCTGCTCCATGCTCTGGCCGTCCTCACCACGCGGTCGACCTCCGGCATCTGCGAGGACCATGAGTCAAGGAAGCACACGAGAGCGCACACGCAAGTGCACACGCACGCGTGAAAGCAAAGAAGCAAGCAAGCAGTCAAGGGAAAGGAAAGGCAAGCAATGAAGCAAGCAGCACGAAGAAACAAAATGGATGGGGGGGGGGCAGCTTTTGAGGCGCCTCAAAGAATGGTGCAGGGAGCAGGGAGCATGACCTTCAGTTAAGAAAGGAAACTGAGGTGACCACAAACAGACTCACAAAAGCAGGGATCGATCAGAATACACGAGACGATCGGAGTGGACGTCGGGTCAAATGTGCGACAAAACGAGGAGAAAAGAGTTGTGCGGGCGAGATGGACAGGGGTACTGGCACACCTCCCCGCCCTTCCTTCATCTCTGAAGAGAGAGAACAAGGGAGAGGGACGGCAAGGAAGGAGAGATTACCACGAGGACATCTAGAGGTCCATGGGCGGTGATGTGCTGTGCCATGCGCCGACTGGCGCTCACAACAGCCTGCTCATCTTCCTCCTCACCATCATCACCCCCACCACCACCCCCACCATCATCAGCACTGTCACCACCGCTGGCCCCTGGGGACAAAATTCCGTCATTCTCCCCCTCCCCCTCCCCATTCCCCTCGCCCTCCCCCTCGGCCTCGGCCTCGGCCCCAAGGCCCCCAAAGGGCAGCAGCATGCGGCCGTGCCAGTCCATGCAGCGCGGAAGTATGCCCGGCAGCAGCAGGCGCAGCTCCATGGATAGCAGGTCCGTGAGCGAGGGGTCTGCTGTTAGAGTCACCACGGTGCTGGCAGGGGGAGAGAGGGGGAGGCGTGGCGGGGGAAAGAGAGAGAGGGTGCATGTGACGTCCAGAGCAGGCAGCAGCAGCAGCAGGCGCAGCTCCATTGATAGCAGGTCCGTGAGTGGGGGATCCGATGTGAGAATCACCACGGTGCTGCTGGGGGGGAGGAGTGGCGGGGAAAGAGAGGGAGGGAGTGTGTGCCGTGGAGAGAAGGAAGTATGCCCGGCAGCACCAGGCGCAGCTCCATGGAAAGCAGGTGTGTGAGGGAAGGGTCTGCTGCTACAGTCACCACGATGCTGGCAGGGGGAGGGGCGGAGAGGGGCAGTGAAGGGGCAGAGAGGGGCAGAGAGGGGCAGAGAGGGGCAGTGAAGGAAGGGTCACAGACAGGGGTCCGAAGCATGTGGTCCTAAGGGCACAAGGGCAGAGGCAGATCAGCTCCATCCATGGCAAACAGAGCAGAGGCGATGACTTTTGAGACGTCTCAAAAGTCGTCTAAGGGCACAAGGGCAGATGCAGATCAGCTCCATCCATGGCAAACAGAGGCGATGGGAGTCCTTCTAGTATGTGTGCGTGCGTGCGTGCGTGCGTGTGTGTGTGTGTCACATGCAGCACTGAGAGATCTCAAAATGGTTGTAAGACAGCGCGGCCTTTAGAGGGAACGCAGAGGCACAATACAGCGACAAGCCAGCGGTATGAACTCTGCCTGCAGTACAGTACCTACCTGGAATAGGAGAGCCGGCTGAGAAAGACAGGGAACGGCGCCAGACCCGGGGACGATGCAAGCGGCACAGACGGCCCCAGGTGAGCTCTCGTACAGATGACATCTGGGGGAGGTGACATCCACGCCAGTACATGGGGCTGTGTTTGCATGGCTCGGAAGAGAGCGAGGCATGCGGTGTAGTTCCTGACCTGCTGCTCCACCCTCTCGCTCTCCTCCACTGCTGCTTGCCCTGCCACACGTGCCACCCCATCCTGCCACCCCTCCTCCTCGCTCCGTTCCTCCTTCTCACTTTTTTCCTTCTCGCTCTGTCCCTTCCCCTCCCAACCACCCCCCTCCCCGTCCCTCTCCCAGTCCCCATCGTCCCCTTCATCCCCCAGGGTATCAACAGCAGGGCAGAGCTCCATGCCCATTCGAAACAAAGGAAACGCAGAGCCGTGGTGAAGAGAGGGCGGCGAGGGGAGGGTGTTGAAGGCTGCAGCAGCAGCAGGGGAGGAGGCAGGGGCGTGGGGGTGTGGGGCGCGGAGGGTAGGCTGGAGGGTGGAAAAGGGGAACGGGAAAGGGGTTATAGGAGTGCCAAGGCGTGGGGAAAAACGGGAAGGAGTGGGGAAATGCGCTGCCCTCTCCCTTGCCCCTCCCCTACCCCGCTCTCCGTCCCCCTCCCCTGTCCCCTCCCGCTTGCGCCACCCCCCCTCTCACCTGGCGCATCACCTGATCCCCCGCCCATCCAAGGCTGCCACGGCCGTGAGGCGCATGAGCCCCTCCCACGCGCCCCTCCTCCGCCCCATGGCAAACCGATCGTTCACTCCCCCCCACTCCGACCCCATCGGCACTGCCACCACTGCTGCTGCTGCTGCTGCTGTTTCGGCCGCTGCTGCTGAGGCAGATGCTGCAGGTGAGACAGGGACGGCAGCGGCAGCAGCAGAACCAGCAGCAGTGGTGGTATCACCAGCAACCGTTGCAGGAGGAGTCATGCTGGCAACGGTACCTCCAGTAGTAGCAGTGACGTTGGCAGCGGAGTTAGCAGGAGGAGTTTGGAGTGTGGTGGGAGGGAGGTGGAGCGAGGAGAGAGGAGGGGCAGGGGCGGTCCAGAAGGAGTCAAGGCGTGAGCGGATGATGTAGTCGATGTGGAGTGGATGAGGGGAAGGAGGGGAGGCGGAGGGGGAGGAGGAGGAGGAGGAGGAGGAGGAGGAGGAGGAGGAGGAGGAGGAGGAGGAGGAGGAGGAGGAGGAGGAGGAGGAGGAGGAGTGTTCCAGGAGAGCAATGAGGGAAGCACAGCCCTCAACCAGATGGAAGTACTGCAGCAAGCCCTGGGGGATACCGCGCATGGAGAAATGGCACAGGGGAAGAGGGGCCAGGGAGGGGGGGAGCATGGGGTGTATTCATAAGGAGCTTCGAGAAGGGAAGCACAGCCCTCTACCAGACGGAAGCACTGCAGCAAGCCCTGGGAGACAAGGGGCATGGGGGAAGGCATGGGGTGGGGACAAACACATGTGGAAGAGCCAAAGAAAGAAACACACAAACAAAGCCAACCAATCCATGTATCAAGCAAGCGTCGGCATACCCCCCCTCATTTCCCTCTATCCTTTTTCCCACCGCCCACCCTCCCTCCCCCCTGCCTGCCTCTTCCCCCTCCGTGCCCTTTCCTACTCTCCCTGCCAACCACACCCCGCTCCATGGTGACTTCTGAGTAGACTCAAAAGTCACCTCGTTACTATGGCACACGACAACCACACCCTGCTCCATCACTAAACGGACGACGGACGAAGAGGAGAGGAGAGAACCCCTACACAAAATCAAGACCATACAATCAAGACCATACACAAAATCTCCCTTACCCCTCTTGGTTCCATCCCCATGAATACCCTTCCACCTCCCCTCCATCATCCCTCTCCCCTCCCATTCCCTGTTCCCCCTGCTCCGCCCACCTGCGCGCCACTGGGGGAGCCCTCCGCATTGAGCACGCGCGAGGCCTGGGGGGACACGGGGAGGGGGACGTGGGGGGAGATGCGCAGCAGGGAGACGCGGGAGAAGGCGGGATCCAGGGGGAAAGTTGCACCACGAGAGGCGTTCGGAGGGGCGGAGGGCGGTGGTGGTGGGGTGGAGAGCGGTGGCGGGGCAGGGGAAGCGAGCGCGAGCGCGAGGAGGCGCGCAGAGGTGTGATCGAAGGGGCTGTTGACGATGACGTGCGTGGCCGCAGCGGGATACGCGGAGAGCAGGTGCCGCTTCATAGAGGGACCCGTTATGTGGAAGTCGCGTGGGGAGCCCACGAGACAGATGGCGACAGATGGGGACGGGCGGGCAGAGGATGGGAAGGGGGACGAGGAGGACGAAGTGAGTGATCCAGGTGTAATGGATGCTGACGTGGATGCAGCAGTCAGAGAAGTCAACGACGGCTTGTTCTCGCGCAAGTTCTCCTGAACACCAGCCATCACCTCCCCTTTCCGTATCGACTCCCCGCCATGTGCGTGCACTAGCTGATTAATCGACTCATTACTCGAAACCTTCTCCTCGTCGTCGCCCCTCATAGCGTCCAACACGCCCTTTTCTTCTCCGAACCGCTCGTGGCTATGGCGGCGCATTACTAGCTTCCTCGGCCCCATGAGACCTTCGGGCAAGCCGATCCGGGGCAGCCGCATGGGAAGTAGGAGCAGCGAGCCAGTTAGCGCCATCCCCGATACTGTCAGCATCATTACAAGCATAACGGTCTCCGCGCGGCAAACCCGCCGACGCTTCTTAGATCGGCGGCGGTGCCTGCTGCTGCTGCCTCCTCTGTCGCCGCCGTGTTTGTCGCCGCTAGAAGCGTTGCTGACATGGCTTCTCGAGGTAGGGCTAGGGGAGAAGCGGAGGCTGCTGTGGGTTTCTGAAGAGTCCATGGCGCCTGATAGCTACGCGCGAAGCGGGTTTGGCTTCGATAGGCAAGACTGATTTTTTAGTCGACTCAAAAAGCGGAAAAGCAGATGCTTCTGTGGGTTTCTGAAGAGTCCATGGTGCCTGATAGCTACTCGCGAAGCGGGTTTGGCTTCGATAGGTCGCGACGAAGGAAGCCTGGCAAAAAGCTTCGCATCCGTCGCAAGAACTTTCCCAGCAGTCAGATTTTCTAGCGCGGAGGGATACGGGGATTGCGATGCCGTCGAGGCGTAACGGCAACGAGTAGTGGAAATGTTGCTGGGCGAGGGAAAAGCACTCTCTAGGGATGAAAGCTAACAAGTGACATGCACCTTGATGTTTGCTCTTTCAACGAGGTTGGGAAAGATAACGAGGCCTGCTAGAATAAATAGCTTGGGTTCAGTTTGGTGACGAGTCGATCCTGGGATAAGACTCATGGGTTCAATAACCTAGGGAGGTCTATCTCATGGTTTTGTGGTAATGGTGGACAAATATTTCCATAATGACCTGACTGCAGAAATAATAAATAGAGGAAGCAAGGACAGATGCAATGGCACCATTCTCTAGGACAAACTAAAGCATAGCTCTGCCGCCAAGGTGAGGATCTATTATCCATCACAAAGAATCATTAGCCTCTAAGCCTACCTAACCTTCTCAGCTAAGCAACACACCAAGGTCTCTAATTACCATCATCATTATCAGTGCCCTGCGTGGGGCCATACACATGGCGGGCCACCTGTCGGTTATATGCATCCTGCTCCTGCCTCCTCCTCTCCTCTGCCGCCTTGAGCCGCTTCTTCAGTTCCAAGGGAGCAGCCAGCTCAGCCACACCCTGCCCTACACCCTCCCAGTAGGTCGTGCCCTGGTCCGCATAATACTTGCCACTAGCCTGGTTCATATCCCGAGCCCAGGAGGAGCGGTTTCCGTCATTGTCATTGTCATCATCATCATCATCGTCATCCTCATCATTGTTGTTATCATTGTTATTGCTGCTGCTGCTGCCGCTGCTGCCACTGCCGCTGGAGCCAGTGTTCGTCGGGGCCATGCCGTCAGTCCAAAATTGGCAGGAGAAATCAATCTTCACCCAGCCACTGCACAGGAATCACGACAACAGAGAATATCAGCCCAATATCCTCCTCACAGCACCAAGAAACACTGCAAAACTTCCAAGAAGCGTTGCTCAAAAGCAGAGACCAGATAAGTGGGGGCAGCGCGAGACGTACACGTTGGAGCCGTGGAAGCCGATGCCCTGGTTGCCCGTGCTGTAAACCCAGATGATGTAGTTCAGCCCGGATGGCTTGAGCGGAATCTTGCCCTCCCCTCCCCTCAGAGTGAACCTGCGCAGCAGAGAGTTTGGCGGACCAACAAAGACACGATTACCAGTTCAGTCTGACATCCCCGCCGACAACCGCAAATACTTTTTGGGGATCGAAATCGACAGGAGAAGCGCGACGGTGTGTCAGAACATTATAGCTTATGCTGTTGTGTAGGCTATAGTGGGGTATCCCATAGGGGGTACAACCAATTAGGGTTTCATATTTGTACTCACTTCATTTCATAGTTCATTCATTCTTGTTCAAATCTTCTCATGGTATCGAGCAGGTTCCCCCTTGGGAACTGTGCTTAGGGCCCACCACATCGATTTTTTTTTTCCTGCCCGAAGCGCGCTCGGCCCGAGTCGCGCTCCGGGCCCTCACTTCGTCGAGCCGCCCTAGCGGCCCTGCACTGCGGCCCCGCCACCCGTCTCCGCGGCCCCGCCGCCCGTCTTCGCGGCTCCGCCGCCCTACCTAGCGGCCCCGCCGCCCCATCGCGGCCCCGCCGCCCCATCGCGCGGCCCCGCCGCCCTATCTAGCGGCCCCGCCGCCCTACCTAGCGGCCCCGCCGCCCCATCGCGCGGCCCCGCCGCCCCATCGCGCGGCCCCGCCGCCCTTCCTCGCGGCCCCGCCACCCCATCGCGCGGCCCCGCCGCCCCATCGCGCGGCCCCGCCGCCCCATCGCGCGGCCCCGCCGCCCTACCTAGCGGCCCTGCCGCCCTTCCTCGCGGCCCCGCCACCTTACCTGCGGCCCCGCCCTTACCTGCGGCCCCGCCGCCCTCTGCTGCGGCCCCGCCACCTTACCTGCGGCCCCGCCACCTTACCTGCGGCCCCGCCACCTTACCTGCGGCCCCGCCACCCTATCTGCGGCCCCGCCACCCTACCCGCGGCCACGCCGCCCTTACCAGCGGCCCCGCCGCCCTTACCTGCGGCCCCGTGCCCTGCAGCAGCACAGCCGAGCCGCCCAGCAGCCGAGCCGCCGAGCCGCCCAGCAGCCGAGCCGCCGAGCCGCCCAGCAGCCGAGCTGCCCAGCAGCCGAGCCGCCCAGCAGCCGAGCCGCCCAGCGGCCGCGCCGCCCAGCAGCCGAGCCGCCCAGCAGCCGAGCCGCCCAGCAGCGGAGCCGCCGAGCCGCCGGGCCGCCCAGCAGCTGAGCCGCCGAGCCGCCGCGCCGCCCTCCTTCAGGGCCGCCCGACCTGCCCAGTCTGGTGAGCACAGCGCCTTTTCACTGCACTGTCCTCACCCCACTGTTTGCGCTGCTAGTCGTCTAGGGTCATGGCTACCCCTAGTGTTCTCGCCTTTGACGCTGAGGGTAGGGCCATTGACTTTGAGGTCTGGGTAGATGACCTGCAGCTGTTCTTACAGTGCGATAGGGCAGACGGCCTCTCTCTCTTTGACCTCACCTCTGGCACCTCCACTGCCCCTGCTGCTGATGCTGACGCCACTGTTCGCTCCCAGTGGGCCACGCGCGACGCTGCTGCACGTCTTGCTGTGCGTCGCCACCTCCCTACCTCCGAGCGTGCACACTTTAGTCAGTACAAGAGTGCTCAGACCTTGTACGACGCTGTAGTTGCGCGCTACTCCTCCCCTGCCACTGCTGCACTGAGCCGTCTCATGCTACCGTACCTCTTTCCTGATCTTACTGCCTTTCCCACAGTCACTGACCTCATTACGCACCTCCGCACTAGTGACACTCGCTACCGCACTGCACTCCCTCCTGACTTCTGCGCCAGGAACCCCCCCCCCATGTACATCACTCTTTACTACATAGTCACTCGCCTTCCTGACTCCCTTCGCGTAGTCAGGGACCACTTTCTCTCTGTCTGTCCCACCACTCTCACTGTTGACCTCCTCGAGAAGTCCCTCCTAGCGGCCGAGAAGAGCATAGTCGCTGTAGGGGCCTCTCGTGGTGACCCGCGCACCCCCATCTTTGAGGGGTGTTCCCCCTCCCCCCTTCTGCCCTCTGTTGCCTCTGCTGCTGCGGCCGACCTCCTTGTTCTTGAGTCGGTCGGTGCGGCGTCTGCCCCTAGCGGGAGACGCCGCTCTGGCAAGGGCAAGGGGGGCAAGGGCGCTGGAGGAGCGAGCGGGGGCGGTGGAGGTGGAGGTGGCGGCAGTTGGGGGAGTGGGGGTGGCGGTGGGAGTGGAGGTGGGGGTGGAGGGGTCGGTGGCGGCAGTGGAGGTGGAGGTGGCGGCGGCGGTGGCGGTGGGAGCGGAGGTGGTGGAGGTGGCGGAGGTGGAGGCGGCGGCGGAGGCGGAGGCGGCGGCAGTAGCGGAGGCGGCGGAGGCGTCGGAGGCGGCGGGAGTGGCGGTGGTGCTGGTCGCGGGTCTTCGCAGAGGAGTGGCTCCGGTGGTGGCTCGCGCCAGCAGCAGCAGCGTGGTCGTGACACCCTGTCCCCTCAGCAGCTTCGTGAGTGGTACACTGCGCGTCAGCGGGGTGGGGGTTTTGGTCCGTGCTCCTACGTTTTGCGCACTGGCGACCGTGCGGGTGAGCAATGTGGGGGTCCCCACCCCACCCAGCGCTGCTTTGGCCGCCTGACGGACGCGTGGCGTCACCAGTTCCCGGAGGCCTCCGAGATCCCTCACTGGGGCGAGCTGTCTAGGGCGGGTGTTGCCATCTATGATCTTGACTTTGATGCTATTCTCTCTGCCATGTATGCTGTGTCTATTAGTGATGAGGGTGACTGTTACCGGTGTTTCCCGCCCGATCCGGGCATTGAGACTGCTGCTCTAGGTCCTGGTGAGGCTGCTGCCCTAGGTACTTGCGACGCTGCTGCTCTAGGTGCTCGTGTGTCTGCGTCCTCAGGTACTGGTGAGTCTGCGCTCTCAGGTACTGCGTCGGCTTCGGCCTCCCTCACCTTCACCCTTGACTCTGGGGCGTCTCGCTCCTTCTTTCGGGACCGCACCACACTCACACCGCTGAGTCGACCGGTTGCAGTGTCTCTGGCTGACCCCTCTGGGGGTCCTGTCCTGTCTCGCTTCTCCACAGTCCTCCCGTGTCCGGCGGCTCCCTCTGGCACCCTGTCTGGTCTCTACCTCCCCTCGTTCTCTACGAACCTGGTGAGTGGTGCTGACCTACAGGATGCGGGGGTCCACCAGTTCACTCCTGCACGTCAGAGAGTGACCCACTGTACAGAGGCTGGCACAGGCCGACACCTGGCTACGTTCACCCGTCAGCCGGGGTCGAGCCTGTACACTCTGACCACTGCGTCTCCTCCAGTTGCTGAGTCTGGTAGGGTAGTTACGTCGGGTCAGGTGTTTGCTGCGGCGTCCAGGTCTGGTCCTGAGTCTGCCCCCTGTTCGTGTCGTCTCCTGTCTCACGAGACTCTCCTCTGGCACCACCGCCTTGGCCACCCCTCTCTGCTTCGGCTCAGAGGTATGGCCTCCCGTCTTCTTGTGTCCGGTCTCCCCCGGTCCCTCCCTCCCCTTCCTCAGGGCCCTGGCCCTGCCTGTGTCCCCTGTGTCGAGGGGCGCCTGCGTGCTGCCCCTCACTCCTCCCAGTTTCCTCCGACAGAGGCCCCGTTGCAGACACTTCACATGGACGTGTGGGGCCCAGCCCGCGTCCGTGGACAGGGTCACGAGCGCTACTTCCTGCTCGTTGTTGACGACTACTCGCGTTACACCACAGTCTTCCCCTTGCGCAGCAAGGGTGATGTCACTGAGGTGCTGATCGACTGGATCCGCGCAGCTCGTCTCCAGCTCAGGCAGAGCTTCGGCTCGGACTTTCCTGTTCTGCGTCTGCACTCGGACAGAGGCGGAGAGTTCTCCTCTGGCCTTCTGCGTGCCTACTGTCGTGCACGGGGCATCCGTCAGACCTTCACGCTTCCGGACTCACCGCAGCAAAATGGGATTGCTGAGCGCCGCATTGGCATGGTCATGGACGTCGCTCGTACGTCTATGATGCATGCGGCTGCCCCCCATTTTCTGTGGCCGTTTGCGGTTCGGTACGCGGCGCATCAGATCAACCTCCACCCCAGGGTCTCCAGGCCGGAGACCTCCCCAGCCCTGCTGTGGACGGGGAAGGTTGGCGATGCGTCGGCGTTCCGGGTCTGGGGATCTCGGGCGTTTGTCCGCGACCTGTCTTCGGACAAACTATCCCCTCGTGCTGCTCCTTGCGTCTTCCTGGGGTTCCCCCCTGACGCGCCTGGGTGGCAGTTTTACCACCCCACCTCTCGCCGTGTTCTGTCCTCCCAGGACGTCACGTTTGACGAGTCGGTCCCCTACTACCGCCTCTTCCCCTACCGCACTCCGTCCCTCCCCCCACCCCCACTCTTCCTGGTACCAGGTCCCCCCCAGGTAGACCCCCTCCCCCCTCAGGGTCCTGCCCCTTCAGGTGTGTCCCAGGTAGATGCGGTCGAGCCTGTCGAGGTCACTGGTGACTCTGGTGCTGCTGAGGGTGCTGAGGCTGGGGGTGCTGTACCTGGGGGTGCGGAGCCTAGGGGTGCTGGGCCTGGGGGTGCTACGTCTGGGGGTGCTGAGCCTAGGGGTGCTGAGCCTGGGGGTGCTGAGCCTGGGGGTGCTGAGCCTGGGGGTGCTGAGCCTAGGGGTGCTACGTCTGGGGGTGCTGAGCCTAGGGGTGCTACGCCTGGGGGTGCTGAGCCTGGAGGTGCTTCGCCTGGAGGTTCTCCGGGTGCTTCGTCTCACCGGGAGCCACTTTCTCCACAGGAGCTGCGTGAGTGGTTTGCCCGGCGCTGGAGGCGTGCTGCTGGTGCTGGAGGTCCTTCGGCTGCTGAGGGTGCTGCGGTCGCGGGTCCCAGAGGTGCTCGTCCTGGGTGCACTGGAGCTGGTGCTGCTGAGGGTGCTGGCGCTGAGACTACTGCTGGCAGTCCTACTGGGGGTGCTCCTGGTACTGCTGGAGGTTCTGGAGCTACTGGTGGTGCTGCTGGAGCGGGTGCTCCTGCTGAGGGTTCTGGTGCTGTCCCGGCTGCTTCTAGCGTCGCCGCGCGGCCTCGACCGTACTTCGTGCCACTCCTGCAGCAGGTTCTTGGTCTTCCACCCTCTACTGGTCCTCCTCCTCCCTTAGAGTGTCCACAGCCTGTCTCGTCCCAGCTACAGTTGCAGCCTACCTCCCCTTTGCCTGCTCCTTCTCCCTACACTGGTCCTACTGGAGGTCTGGCTGAGCGTCGTGAGCCTGCGTCTCGCCCTGCGTCGCCTGTCCGTGCTGCTCGCACTAGTGGTCGCGGTTCGCGTCAGCGTCCTCCTCCTGTCCCTGGCACGCACCGGATGTCTCTGCGTCCGTCCACTGCTCCTCTGCGTGCCCCTTTGCCTTCTCCTCCTGAGTCCTCTCTTCCTGCTCTTGCCGACCCGGAGTCGGACTCTCTTCGTGCTGCCAGTCCTACTGTCACGCGTCTCCTTGCTACTGTTGTCACTGACCCTTCTTTCGAGTCTACTGTTGCGTCTGCTCTCGTTACTGAGCTCGTCGACTTTGCTGCTCGCTGTCGCTTAGACTACGCTGCTAGTCTTGTCGCTGAGTCTGAGTCTGTCTGTCCTCCGTCCGTCGGGGGTGAGTGTGCCCTTGGCACGGACGTCCTTGAGGACAGGCAGGAGGAGTTCCAGTGTCTGGCAGCTGCCTCACCTCATCTCGTGTCCGTACTGCTTACCCCTGAGGGAGACCCGGATGCACTTGACATCCCGACTCCGCGCTCTTACGCGGAGGCGATAGAGGGTCCCTACTCCTCTCAGTGGCAGGCAGCTATGGATGCAGAAATGGCTTCCTGGAAGTCCACAGGCACCTACGTTGACGCTGTCCCCCCTCCTGGGGCGAACATCGTCAGTGGCATGTGGATCTTCAGGGTGAAGCGGCCACCGGGTTCTCCGCCTGTCTTCAAGGCGCGTTACGTGGCTCGTGGCTTCAGTCAGCGGCAGGGAGTTGACTACTTTCAGACCTTCTCCCCCACCCCGAAGATGACCACTCTTCGGGTACTGCTGCACGTTGCTGCTCACCGTGACTACGAGCTGCACTCTCTTGACTTCAGCACAGCTTTCTTGCAGGGCAGCCTGCACGAGGAGATCTGGCTGCGTCGCCCACCTGGCTTCACTGGGTCTTTCCCTTCTGGTACCCAGTGGAGTCTCCGGCGTCCAGTCTACGGTCTCCGCCAGGCGCCACGTGAGTGGCACGACACACTGAGGACTACGCTTGCGGCTCTTGGGTTTGCTCCTTCTACTGCCGACCCGTCGCTGTTTCTACGCACCGACACCTCTCTGCCGCCGTTCTACATCCTCGTGTACGTCGACGACTTGGTCTTTGCCACAGCTGACACTGCTGGACTCGCCTACGTGAAGTCCGAGCTGCAGAAGAGACACACGTGCACAGACCTGGGTGAACTGCGCAGCTACCTTGGCTTGCAGATCACCCGGGACAGAGCACGCCGCACCATTACCCTGACTCAGTCACACATGGTGCAGCAGGTCCTTCAGCGCTTCGGCTTCACGTACTCCTCGCCTCAGGCCACTCCTCTGTCTACTCGCCACTCGCTCTCAGCTCTGCCTTCGGATGAGTCCGTAGAGTCGAGTGGCCCGTACCCAGAGCTTGTTGGCTGCCTCATGTACCTGATGACCTGCACACGACCTGACCTTGCATACCCTCTTAGCATTCTGGCACGCTATGTTGCTCCTGGGAGACACAGACCAGAGCACATGGCTGCAGCGAAGAGGGTGTTGCGCTACTTGTGCAGTACGTCGGGCATGGGGCTAGTGCTTGGAGGGCGGAGTCCAGTGGTCCTCACTGGGCACGCGGACGCTTCTTGGGCTGACGACCAGGCTACGCAGCGGTCGTCACAGGGTTACACCTTCAGCCTTGGTTCCGGCTCTGTTTCGTGGCGGGCTACTCGCTCGTCTTCTGTTCTTGGCTCGAGTTGTGAGGCTGAGATCTACGCCGGGGCCATGGCTGCACAGGAGCTTCGCTGGCTCACCTACCTGCTGACCGACCTTGGAGAGCCGCCTCGTTCTCCTCCAGTCCTGTACGTAGACAACAAGGCCATGCTGGCCTTGTGTCGAGAGCAGCGACTGGAGCACAGAACAAAGCACATTGCTCTCCGCTACTTCCTTGCTCGTGAGCTACAGCAACGTGGTCAGTTGCGGCTTGTGTACGTGGCCTCTGAGGCCAACACTGCTGATGTCTTCACCAAGGCACTTCCGCCTTGTGATCATCAGCGCTTCTGCACTCAGCTGGGTCTTGTGCCCGTCTTGCCTCACTTGCTCTCCTCTTGACCTTGCCTGTACTCTCACATATATATATACCTGCTCTTGCTTGTCTAGCTTTATATATATGTGTGTACTCTTGCATGTGAACTGGCCGTGTGGCCTTGACCCTGTGCTCGGACTGTGTGGTGACTTTGTGATCCACCCTGAGCTTGCTTTGCTTTACTTTGCTTGACTGGTCTTGTGACCCCTTGTTCTCCCCCACTTTGCCTATGGGGGTGTGTCAGAACATTATAGCTTATGCTGTTGTGTAGGCTATAGTGGGGTATCCCATAGGGGGTACAACCAATTAGGGTTTCATATTTGTACTCACTTCATTTCATAGTTCATTCATTCTTGTTCAAATCTTCTCACGGTGGTCATAAGGAAATAGGCGTAGCAGGGAGCACTCACTGCGCAATGAGGGAACCCGCAGCAGAGCGAGAGAGCGACGGCGTGCCGAGCGAAATCTCGTTCGTGGGCGCCACGTTCTTGCGCTTGTAGCCGTTGATGTAGTACGCAGCCAGGGACGAGCCGCTCTTGATCACCGAGTAGCTCGGCGACATGGACCCGTCGCGCGACCACCCGATGCCGAACCAGCCGTTAGACGCGCTGCTGCCAGCCGTGGCCTCCATAGCCATCTGAATCGCCTGCCCCTGCACAGGCTTCCAGTGCAGCACGAAGCTGGAGGCAGCGGAATCAGGTTGCGGGGGGAGGCGGGGGAGGGGGGAGGCGGGGGAGTCAAATGTACGTCAGCACGATTCGAAAGGAGAAGCTCAGGCACGAACAGGCTGAGCTGGAGCCAAATGTAACAAGCTTAGAGGGCAACTAGCTCCGAGCGGCGGGTCGCACCTGCCGCCGTCGAGATTGGCAGAGTAGGCGTATCCGGCAAGGCTGGACTTGGGGCAGTAGCCAATGGCGGGCACGGCGGGCGAGGCGGGCGCGCCAGGAACAGTGGTAGTGGCCATCCCGCTATTGCTGCCCGGAATGGGGTTCAAGGGATTCTCGACCGCAGGCGCGCCTCCCACGCAGCCGAAGTTTACCACGACCGAGCCCCTGGGATACGAAGACGTACGAGTAAATTCGGGGAGAGATGCGACGAGGCAGATAAGAGAAATTGGAAGCGTACTATCTCCGACTGGCGACGGACAGTTGGGTGCTATGGGCAGTCCGATCGATTTGAAAAGGATCGAAGGACGCACGAGGGAGCAACGAGTGCAGGAAAACCGTGGTTGCAGCAGGCGTAGAGCGTTTCCACGGTAGCAGCAGAAACTTACGATCGACGGTTCTGGTAGTTAATCGCCTTCTCGCCGTCGATGTCGTACGCCCATATGATTGTGTTCTGCCCACGGACCTTCACGTGCACAGCCCCGTCGCCGTTATTCCGCGTGAAGCGGATAACAGCGCGCAGGCGCGACCGCTCCAGAGTCGCATCCCCGATAGAGAAGGTGTTCGTCAGCATGACCTGACCGTCGGGTGAGATAGTGTATGCCGCCACGGGAGCTGTGCTGGTTTGCCCAATCACCGCGTCGGCGGTGGCCGCGTCGCCACCTGGCTTGAAGCCTACCGCGATCCAGCCCTTGGCGGCGCCGCTTCCCACGCGCGCCTCGACGGCGAGCTCGATCTTGTTGCCGACGGCGGGCTTCCAGTGGAGGCGGAGTCTGCATGGTGAAGGGGGGAAGGGGGAGCAAAACAACGGAGGGGGAGAATATCCAAAAGCGCGCTGTGAAATAACACACTGAGGGAATATCGGAGCCATGGAGTATAAAGCGGTGCCGAAATCAGAGAGTCGATGGAAAGAGAAGCAGGAGAATAGCGCGCGCGCGTCGTCGCGCGCCCGGGTTGATGAGTTTTCAACCATGCGCACCCTCTTTTGAGGATCTTGGACGAAGTGAACCCTTCAAGCTGCGATGGCAAGCATGTTGCAGCCTGCATGGACCGCCTCTTTGCTCCGCGCGTGCCACCGCCGATCCGTGCCGAGGGCCTGCCTTCCGCCTGTGCATGCAAAGCAATCAAGGTGATTGCTGTTGGAAGGACGGTGGTGGGGCGATGGTATGCCCCCAACCCACCGAGGGCACTTCGGTGCCTTCGATCCCTTTGACTAGGGAACGGTGGGGTGGCACCGATTGACTTCGGGAGACTCACCCTTCGGTGCCACGTGGCGGCACCACATTCCAACCTTCAAGTGCAAGGCGAATTCGGTGTGTTCGGTGTGAAATTCGGTGGTCGAATTTCACCCCAACCGAAATGTTACACGCGGCGCATTCGCGACGCGAGTGTAGCGATGTGATGTTACATGTGCGGTTCGATGTAATGCATTTGCTATAAATCGACCTGCCTTGTATGCATGCTTTATACTGAAATCCTGAATCTTCTTGTACATGGTCCATTCGAACCAAAATTCCAGAGAGGTGTATCCTTGCTTCTAAGAGCACTAGCAATCACGTGAACGCCAATATCTCGGCGTATACTTGGGCGATTAACGTGTTTGACGGCTTGTTGGAAAGCCAAGACTGTGCTCTATCGTTTAGTGCAACTTAGAGTTCCTGCAAAGTAGAGGAGACGCCTCTACAACAATTGCCAGTAGAACGAATATCGCGCGCTTGTACAACCGCCGCTCGCTGCTGGTGCCCATGTCGTCAAGCAGAAATGTCAGATCTTCAAAATTATGTAGGGGTGGACGAGGGATGTCGGCTGGGAGGGTCTGCTCCTTGGAACGTACTTGGTGGTCGCTCAGAACTCTGTGGTCGCTCAGAACTCTGTGGTCGCTCAGAACTCTGAGGGCTTTGGATGACTACTGAGAGAAGTAAAGGGATCTACGCTCGAATGAATGATGATGCTCAGTTGATGCCCGCGCGTTTTATTGTGTTGTACAGTAGTGGTGAGGGATCTTCCTAATCAACTGATTGATCGCCATAGTTTGGAACGTGGCGAGCCGAACCGTGGATATCCGTACCGATAGGGCACCTACGCGGCTCGCATTCCCCCTTCTTGCCCCTTGTAGAACCGTCGGATGGGGAGATCGAGTCAAAGCGACTCGAGAACGAGTCGCCCTGGTCACTTCGCCATAAGGTTTGCGTGCGATGTGTGCCTACAACGAAAACGACCTTCGAAGCCCAATCAATGTGCAGATTTCGCCCCCATAATGGCGTGTCGCGGTGCTGACCTGTATGCAGACGCGGGCTTGTTCCTAAAGCAGCTTTCGCATCATGCGCTCTTAGCTAAAACTCATATCTCGAGACCCACTCCTGGGCAAATCGGGATAGGATTTTACGTGCACTGGCCAATCTCGGTTCCATTTAACCAGCTGAACAGATCCTGATTCAATGCATCATTCTCGTCCACTGACGCACGTTTGCCAAGCTCGCCGTTGAGCGCGTGGCCCCCCTCCATCTTGACTCGTTTAAAGCAGTCCCCAGTACAATCTACGAAACAGAATCTTACTGTCTACTGAGGACGCGTCACCTCTCTCGATTTTGCACGATCGATCCTGCGCAGGATCGAATGTTTACGGAGTTGAAAACAGTTAAAAAGAAGTAAAATGTAACAAGCATGTTTTGAGTGCGGTGGGCGATCGGTGTTTGACGATCGATCGTGCAAAATCGAGAGAGGTGACGCGTCCTGAAGGATAATCTGGATGATCCTGCTTGGAATCAAGGAGCAGATGGGAAGACACAGAACCAGTGTAATTTGCATAACCATTATATGATCAATGCATGGGTAAGACAACACATGAGTAGAGTTATAATATGCATGGCTGAAGCGTACCGTAAATAACAAAATAGACCTACTCGCGAAACCTTTTCAGACAGACTCCTAGTCCTATTTTTTAAAATATAACGCAACAGACCTAGTAGGCTGCAACGACAGAACCCCTAACCTGCAATTTAGAGCCTCACAGACTCACAACCTAATTAGTTCCAGCCTCCAGCTGCTTCTGCTGATGTTACCCATTCGTCCTAAGCAGCCCAGCCCGCTCAGATGGCAATCCAACAGTCCCAATTGCGCCTTCCCATCCTGTCACCTGACGAAACCATCCAGCCACTTCCCATCCGACCCGGCTGCTGCTACCCCCATCTCCACCCCCAGCTTCAGCAACACCTGTTCGGCCATCCCCCAGGACCGCTCCTGACTCATCACAGCCCAAAGTCTCCAAGCCCGAGTTGTTCGGAACTGCTGAAACATGCCCTTCCTCTAAAGTGCACTCTCCAGGCGCAGTTGAGGCAGCAGCAACAGGAGGGCCTGTGTGCGTATCTGCAACACCATCTGCGACACAGCCACTTGCTGCTACTGCCAATCCCTCCAGTGACCCGCTCTGAATGTTTGGTCCCCCACCAGTGGCCCCCACGATCGGCTTGTCCTTCTCCCCCTCCTTTGTTGGGGTCAGCATCTTTTGTTGTATCTGCTCATGCAAACGGACAGCCATCTGCTGCCACTCCTCCCAACGCACACGATGCTCATGCTGCCGCTCCTGCCTCTGGCACTCCTGCTGCTGCTCCTGCTGCAGGCCCTCCAGCGCCTCGCGCTTTTGCTCTAATTCACGCTTACCACCAGCAACCCCAGCACCATTGCCCACCCTAGTCATATCCGTACATTCCCCCCCATCTGCTCCCCCGCCGATTGCACACCGTTGATCGCCTTGGCATGCGCTGTGTGCTGCTGCACCAGCAGCACCAGCAGAAGCATCAGCGCCATCTGCACCTAATCCACGTGATCCTTCGGCCCCACTTGCTACGCCTGCTACAGCCTGGCCTGCTACAGCCTGGCCTGCTACAGCCTGGCCTGCTCCCACCTGCCCGGTTACAGCCTCAGCTGATACAGCCAGCTGAGCATGAGCAGAAACAGTCGAGCGAGTAACAACCGGAGCAACAGCAGATGCAGAGCTGCTGCGCCTCATAATCCTGTCCATGTGACTCGCACTTGTCGCCAGGAAATCGCTCATTGCGCTCGTGTTGATGGCGCCCACACTCGTGTTGATTGCGCCTGCTAGGCCGGAGGCGGCAGCCACGAGATTCTTGGCGGATTTAGAGAGCTGGAGAGCCCGCGGGGCGGAGAGAATACTGGAGACGTCTGTAACGGGGACAAACGCGGCGAACGGTGATGTGGAGGCGAAAGAGGGTGCTGGCGTGGACGCAGAGGAGGAGGGGGAGGAGGGGGAGGCGGCGGAGGAAGAGGAGGGGTGAAGATGAGAGAATGTACCCCCAGGTGTGGTTTGGCTGCCGCCGTACTCATTGGTAACTGGCACACCTCCGTGCTCCTTCCCAGACAACCTTGCAGGACTCGCACTTGCTGACGCGGCGGCGGCGGCGGCGGCGGCTGTGGTGGTGACAGTAGTTGCGTTCGGGGCATCATCGCAACCGCGAGCACGAGACGACGAGGTAGAGGGATCGCCAGACTCGCTACTACGAGCAGACGTACCACCACCCCCACTGCTCCTGCCAGCAGACGTACCAACCGCGCTGCCACTGCCTCCCATGGCTACCTGCTCCGTGCTAGGCTGATTCGTCGCCTCATCCCCCTCGTTGCTAACGTTCCCTCTCACGTTGCCCCCTATGCGGGACCCGTGACTCCCGTCGACGTCTACTGCGTCGTCGTTGCTGTTATTGCTGTTTTTCTCGCCGTCGCCGCCATCGTCTTTGTAGTCGTCGTCAGCGCGAAGCGAGCCGCGGCCGCCGTAAGAGACGGGCAGAGGGCTGCACGGCTCGTTTTCGTCGCCGTTACAGCCGCCGCAATCCCCGGTCCGGGCGAAATCACCTGTCTCGCCGCCATTGGCGCCGCAGCTGCTGGCGCACGCACAGCAGAAGCAGCAGCTACTGCAGTAGCTCTCGCAGGTTCCTTCCTCTCCTCCCTCCTCGCTGTCGCTCCCGCTGCTCCTCCCGTCATTCCCGATCGCGCAGGGGCAGCGGGAGTTCACGTTACAAGGGCGCAACGAGGGCGATAACGGAGCGAGGCGAACGGGGGAGAGAGAGAGGTGGCAGGCGGGACGGAAGGGGGGTTCGCTCCGCGGGCTGACTGGGAGGAGCGGAGGCGGAAGGCTGGAAGAGCCGGGGAGCGCGCCGACTGGGGCAGCGGGAGGCGAGCGGGCTGACGGCGAGGTGGAAGAAGGTAACGCTCGTTTGTAAGCGACGGGGGAAGTGGGTGCCGACGTGGATGCTGACGTGGGCGCCGACGTGGACGCCGACGTGGACGTCGACGTGGATGCCGACGCGGATGTGTGAGTGGATGTGAGCAGCGAGGCACACTTGAAACACGTGCGTTCAGGGTAGCGACAGGCGGATTTGAGCGTGAGAGGGGACCCGTGGGGAGGCGAAAGCTGCCATGGCGGAGAGGAGGTACCGCCGTTGTTAGCGGAAAAAATGTCCATTTCAGGGTCGGGAGGAAGAAAGCGGTGAAGGCGCTGTCCTAAGAGAATCATGTTGGGACCTGAGGAATATTCAGCGCGTGCGAAGGACGGAATAGGTCGTGGCAGAGCGTCGAATTGAAGGCTTTGAATTGATTGAACGCGAGAGACGCAGGGTGGATGGGATGCCGGCAGAAATGCTAACGCGGTAAGAAACAGCTTCCGAAAATATGAGGCACGAGGACGAGGGAGACCGAGCTTATCGAAATTAAGTGACTAACAAAAATCTGGCATACATTTGGTGAGGATGAATCAACGACAACAGTGGGAATGCACACGAGCCTGCAATGGTCGATTGGTAAAGCAGCTGAAACCTTGCTTGCAGCACAATGTGGGGAGATGTGACTGAGGAGCAGGAAAGAGGAGAAGAGCATAACATGGCACCCCACACGGGTAGAAGAGGTTCCTTGTTGCATGCAAGGAGAGTGAAGAAGTAACAGCTGACCTTATCCTCTTCCACTGCTTCTCTCCACCCAACCCCACCGTATAATCTCCTAGCATCAACGCACTCCATCCCATATCACCCTTCCGAAACAACCTAGGTATTGAATTGAACGTCGAGGTTTGGGAGGAACCTTGTACGGCGCCAGTCGGTGGAGTGGAGGAGGATTCCTGAATGGCCTGGGAGGGAGTTCTGGGTGGGTACGTTCCGTATCTCGCTCGCGACGTCGGCGAATAGCGGTTGCGATTTTGTGACGGAAAACGACAGAGTCTAACTGGCGGGCGGCGTGGCATCCGATGAGTGAGGGGAGTGGGGCCAGAGCGGAACTTGTGGCGGTCGCGTCGCCTCGCCTTCATCCAGAACGAAGTGATAGAAACGGGCCCGGGCGCAAGGCCTCAAGCTAGTGTCAAGAATGAAGCAATGTCTCAATGGACAGCAACGATGGAATGATACCAACGATTTAGGAAAAACACCCTGCCTGTTATGAGTTGTAAAAGAGAGTGTGAGGAATAACGAATAACGAAGATGTGACTCAATGAACTGACAATACAATGAAGGCACGCGCTAATATAGTGGGTCAACCTAGCTAGGCGGGAACCTCGGGAACACGAGGTTGGGTGTGTGAAGAAATAAGGAATGAATGAGAAGAGAGAGAGGGGTTCACTAGCAAACATTGGGATACATATAGCAAACCCTAAAAGGGCTGTACTCACTATAGAGTACCCCACTGCAGACTGGAGAAACATAATATTATGACACACCCCCATAGTCAAAGTGGGGTGTAATCAGCATAACAAGCAAAGCAGAACAAGCTCATGGTGGATCACAATGTCACCACACATTCTGAGCACAAGTACAAGAAGCAACAGTTTAAAGTTCACAAATGTAAGCAAAGCTAGAGGCTATCGCAGAAGGCAAGTGTGGAGGAGGAAGGACTATGAGAGGAGAGGAGGTAGTGGGCGGCAGCTGAAGCTGCTGGCACACGGCGCAACTGGAGCAACTGGCACACGGGCAACTGGAGCAACTGGCACACTGGCAACTGGAGCAACTGGCACACGGGCTACTGGAGTAACTGGCTCCGCGGCTAACTCTGAGCGGCAGGAGCAACGGACTCACGGGCGACTGGAGCAACTGGCTCACGGGCGACTGGCGCAACGGGCTCACGGGCGACTGGCGCAACGGTCTCACGGGCGACTGGAGCTGCGGGCTTCACGGCGGCCACCCCCTTCAACCTCCCCAAACTATCCCACCCCCATTTCACACACCCCCTGCTGCACCCCTAGGTTCACTCACACCCCACCCTCTAGCACCACTCCGTCAACTCCCACACACCCACCCCCCTCAGCGGCAGCTGCAGCAGTGGGAGACAGAGGAGGAGGAGGAGCAGGGGAGACCACACACCCGCCACCCCCTACTCGCCACCCCCAAACCCTAACACAGGGCAGGACGGGATGGCAGGTAGGGAGGTTACGGGGGGGGGGGGGGGGGGCGACGCGCGGCCTCCCAGGGCGCCAGAACAGGCGGCAGAAGGGGCGACGCGCGGCCCCCCCCCCCAGGTCGCCCGGCCCCCCAGGGAGCCGCGACGGGCGACGGGAAAAGAGGGGGGGGCGGTGCACGGGTCCCCGGTGCGCCGCGACAGGCGACGCGGCATGGCCGGGGCGGGGCCGTTAAGGGTCGGGGCAGGGCCGGGGCAGGGCCTCGACAGGGCCGCGGCGGGCGACGGGGCAGGGCCGCGACGGGGGGGCGCGACGGGGGGCCGCGACGGAGGGCCGCGACGGGGGGCCGCGACGGGGGGCCGCGACGGAGGGCCGCGACGGGGGGCCGCGACAGAAGGGCCGCGACAGGGGGCCGCGACGGGGGGCCGCGACGGGGGGCCGCGACGGGGGGTCGCGACGGGGCCGCTAAGGGGCCGCAAGGGGGCCGCGACGGGGCCGTTAAGGGGCCGCAAAGGGGGCCGCGTAGGGGCTGCAAAGGGCAGGGCAGGCCGCAAAGGGGCCGCGAAAGGGTAGGGCAGGCCGAGCGCGAAGGGCGCTTCGAGCAGGTTAGGAAAAAAAAGTTTTAAGTGGTGGGCCCTTAGGAAGGAACAGTCCCAGGAGGGAACCAGCTCTATACCATGTGAAGAAATAAGGAATGAATGAGAAGAGAGAGATGGGTTCACTAGCAAACATTGGGATACATATAGCAAACCCTAAAACGGCTGTACTCACTATAGAGTACCCCACTGCAGACTAGAGAAACATAATATTCTGACAGGGTGCAGGTTGGGCAAAGTAAAGGCCGAAGGCGACGCGAGGTTACGGGTGCAATGAATCGAGGTAGCGAGAATTGCACTAAGGTGTCAAACGAGTACAAAATGTGAGCGAAGGCATGAGCGAACAGTTATACGCGAAACATGCAAACGGTAACGCGGTGCGTGCGAGCTAGCTAGTGCTACGCTGGAGGCGAGGCTCGGGCTAGTCCCGAAGCGTAGGCCGACACGGCCAGTCCAGCAGTGCGAGGTTTGGTGAAACAGTGCGCGCGGAGTCAGCGAAGCCCCGTTAGCAGTAACGGGCGAACAACGGCTGCTGCTGCACGCGATGTTGCAGGGTGCGCTAAGGAATATCGAGAAAATTCCTTACACGACCCCCCCCCCCCCCTCAAGAAGCCCCCTCCGCTACGCGAGTGCGTGTATATCGCGGAAACCCCGGCTCCTCAGGTACACTTGCAGGGCAGGGTGGTTTTCGATGTTGGCCAGGGGCACCCAGCTATCCTCAGTTGGCGTGCGGTCCTTCCAGCGGACGAGGAATTCAATCCTCCTGATTCCCGTGGGGTGTCGAATCCGATGGCTCATGATTTTTTCGGGTTCGATGATCGGCTCCGATGCAGGGCGAGTCATGGATGGCGGGCGGTGACGAGGCACTTGGCTTGTGGTTGGGATGTATGGGCAAAGCAGGCAAACGTGGAACGATGGGCTGATGTACCAGTCCGTCGGCAACAGGAGGTGGGCTGTCATCGGGGTAATCATGTGGCTGATTTGGAATGGTCCACAGTAGCGGGGTCGCAATTTCGGTACGACGGGCAGTCTTAAGTTCTGTGTGTCGAGCAGTACGTAATCTCCTGACTGGTACGTGACTTTGCGGCGGTGGCGGTCAACGTTGCGCTTAGCGATGACGTTGGCTTTTTTAATTGCTTCTGCGGCTCTGGTGCGGGCAGCTTGTAGAATTTCGGCAAATTGCTGTGCACGTGGTGTTGGGTTGTCCGGACTCGGCGTCATGGGCACTGTAAGGTTTTGCCCGTAGTTCAGGTAGAAAGGGGACTGCTGCGTTGTCGCTGATGTGGCGTTGTTGTACGCGAACTCGATCAGCGGCAGCTGCTGCTCCCAAGTGGTTGGGTCGTCGCACGTGGCACGAATCAACTGCTCCATCGTCTGATTCGTCCGCTCCGTTTGACCGTCGGTCTCGGGGTGCTACGACGAGCTGAACTGTAGCCTTGTCCCGAACTGTTCCCAAAGGTTTTTCCAGAAGTTGCTGGTGAACTTCGTGTCGCGGTCGCTGATTATCGCGGCTGGTATCCCGTGCAGTTGAACGATGGCTGCGATGAACAGGCGAGCGGTTTCTTCGGCTGAGATCGATTTCTTGCACGCAGCGAAGTGTGCCATCTTCGTCAACCTGTCATCGACGACCATAACTGAGTCGTTACCCCCAGGGTTCGAAGGTAACCCCGTGACGAAATCCATTGTAACCTGCTGCCAGGCGCGCTTAGGCGGTGGGATCGGCTGCAACTGACCCGCCTTTCTTTTTCGCGAGCTCTTCATCACCTGTCACGTAGGACATGAGCCCACGTGGTGCTGTACATCGGTCAACAGCTCCGGCCACTAGTAATACTGCTGCAGTTGCTGTCGCATTTTTTCTACCCCGAAATGTCCCGAGGTAATCCCGTCGTGTGCCTCCTGCAGTAACAGTTCCCTCAGTAGTGAGTACGCGGGTACCCAGATGCGGTTGGTGCCTGTTTTTACGTAATAGACTCCTTTGGCCTCTGCCAGTTGCTGTGAATTTCCGGTCGTGAAAAAAGGGTTGGTACTGTATCCGTGGGTGAATAGGCCTGTTAATAGCGGGTTGGTTTGGGCGAGTAGGATGGCGTGGAGTTGGGCGGTGGGGCGTGTGAGAGCGTCGGCGATGTTGGATGCGCCTTTTTTGTACGTGACCGTGTAGTGGAAGTTGGACTCCAGATAGTCCAACCAGCGGATCTGTTGTGGGTTGAGATTCGGTTGGGCGCGAAGGTACTGTAGTGACCGGTGGTCTGTCCGTACTGTCACGTCTGCTCCCGTGAGGTAACATCGCCACACCTTGAACGCGTGCACGATCGCCAACATCTCGCGGTCGTGTATCGGGTAGTTGCGTTCGGGCGGGTGAAGTTTGCGGGACTCGTACGCGATTGGCTGGAGGCCGTTCCCGAAGTCCTGCAACAGTACTGCTCCCACAGCGATTTCGCTAGCGTCGGTGACGAGCTCGAACGGACGGTGCGTATCTGCAATGTGAAGCAC